GGCTCCGCACGCGCTCCCGTTCCCGCCCGGCTGGGGTGTTGCTGTGCCCATGCTGCCTGGCCGGCCTGCTCCGCGAGGTGGCTGCAGGTTAGTGATGGGCGAGTGAATTGCATCGCCCACTTCGCGTGTGGGAGTAAAATAAGCCCTGTACAGTACTTGTCAGGTGGATGAATGCATTTTGAGTCTGGACGGGCATATCAACCCACCTTGTAGCAGGCGTGTGTCCAAGTCCTTTCGCGGCATGAAAAGTGGGAGAATCACTTGGAGACCTGCATCGTACACAAAGAACCTGCTTTCTGGTCCGGGGGGGGTTGTACTGGAGCCTGATTCTGCTCCCACTGAAGTTTTGCCATTGCTTTAATGGGTTGGAGAAAGGCTCAATTGGAAGATAGTGCAGATGCAGGATCCTGTTTTTTATAATAAAAGTTACATGCATTGATAAATACGTTGTCTGATAGTGCAGATGCAGGATCCTGTTTTTTATAGTAAAAGTTACATGCATTAATAAATACATTGTCTATATCAGTGGTTTTCAACCTGTGGTCCACAGATCCCTTGAAGTTCCCAATTTATGCCTCAAATTTCCAAAGGGGTGTTCACTTTGGAAAAAATAATTAGGAGTCTGCAAATGAAAAAAGTTTTGAAAAGGATTGGACTGTGAAGTATTATCTTCACATTATCTAAGAAGAAAATGTTCAAATTACCAGGTTTCAGACAATGGAGAACTCGCTAGTAGTAGGGTGGAGAGGAAGTTTTCCCTCTGTCGTCTTGTCCTGTATAATTAGGTGCATCTTGGATGCCTGTTCATCTAATAATTTTGGAAAATGCAGTGTTAAAGGAAAAAGAGCAAGCTGCACACCATTGGTGTAATACAATCCAAATTCTATCACAATGTCATGTTCACTTGCTTGATATTTGCCACATTTTTGGAATGTGTTCTAACAGTTTCTAAGTTATACAGACTAATGAACCCAAGTCAGCCCCTGACTGGGTAAAGGGCTACTTGCGATTATTTAGCTTTTAAAACATTAATGAATGAGAACGATCAGACATGGACATAGCTAGCCTATGAAAGCACACTTCTTTATCGCTGCTACCTTTGTCTTGTTGATTAATAATCTCCTGTATGTTTTTATTGCGCTTTGCACAATTGGCCTGAGCTTCGCTGAGACTATGAGCAATAGCTCAGCAAACTAATAATGGTTAAGTGGAGACTATCCATTTAAATTTAGCCCAACATTTATTTTTTAGAACCCAAGACCAAAAGAGAGATTCCTAAATTTTGAAAAACTCCAGTGTTTGAACTCAGAACAGCATAAGTGAAATTGACTAAAATAAAGCTGACTTCATTGTCCAAGCAGAAAAGTGGTAAAATTACAGAGCATAAATAGTGATAAGTAACTTAAGTTATTTAAAAAAATCTAAAGTTCTAAATAAAATTTTATTTATAATATATAATTCGTTTATAATTATCATTGTTAACATTTTTTATGGTTCTAGTGAAAAATGTGCTACTTTTTAAACTGTTACCAACATTCAACATGTCAGTACAGATTATTTCTTTATAATGTGCTGAGTTTAGATGCTTCACTTCTGGGAGATAAAAGTTGGGTGTTGTAAACATAGACATTTCTGTTTTGTAGTATGTGATGATGCAAAGATTCTGGAATCCAGTTCTTTCATGGTGTTTGTTTAACAGTTAATCATTTTTAGACAACAACTTCAAGGGTGACTGCTCTTTTCATTCTACTTAATTCTTTGTGCTTTTGAGGTTGAATTAGCCCAAACAAGTTTGGAAGAGGAAAAGATCTCTTTTGAACATTAGGGACAATCAAGGTCTATCTCGATAAAGATGAAAAAAGTTAAATTACTTTGTTGT